TGCTTGGATTTCCCAGTCTCCTGAGTCGAGTACAGGCAACATTGCAGCTATATGGATCAACACAGGGGTGAACAGAGCGACGTTTGCTACTCAAATATTTCACTCCGGCGCAGCCATACAGTCTCAATATCTGAGTGACACTGACGAGGAGCTGACGGCTATCTCATGGGTAGTCAGTGCGAATTCGGATCGGATCCGCGCAGTCATCTCCCCATACAGAAATCAGAGACCTCGAACACTCGAACCAACTCCCTCTCCGCCATATGATCGGGTAAGGAAGCTTTACTTTGAGGGTCAAGAAGGCTATGCTCGGCGAAAGAAGATAGTCCAGGCAACAGCCTATATATACGACAGACAATTATGTGGACTGAAGTTTACCTATTCGTCAACCCATCAAGCCGCCGTTGGTGATATACGTGACTGCATGTCACGTCAAAGTGTTTATTTTTTCAAAGATGATGCTATCATCGGCTTCTCAACCAAGATATCCGGCACTGCACTAGTGGAGATCCAGTTTGAGGTTAAACAGAAGAAGACGGTTCGACGTCTCAGCCTCAGAGACCCCGACCGTGAGCCCTTCGAGTATGACCAGCATCGTTACTGGGGAGATACACCAGCCAACCTTGAGACTGCAACTGACATCTCCGAGCAGCGACGAATTGAAAAGGTTTCTGGAACGCCCGCTGATTCCAGGCTTACTGGAATCTTTGTGTATTGTGACTGCTTGTCTGCGATCGGCGCCATATATGAACCTACCTCTTCGCGGTGAATGTAGAGGCAAATTACACGTTCACTCGTGACCACATTCAGTTTGCTTTTTGCTCATAGGTACGGCGATAGAAGAAAGTGATTTATAGAACTGTGAAGCCTTCCAACCTTTTTAGTATGCAATCCGGATAATTGGTTACGTAACGAAGCCAAATAAGGAGATATTGACGATGTTAGCATTCGCAACGGGGAATTTCCGAGCGCCTCGTATATGAGTAAATCACCGCACTGAGAGAATGATTGGTTGCAAGATCTAACTGACGTCAGTAAGGGACTAATTCATGCTTAAAATGTGGACTACTAGCACTCCATACTCCATCAACAACATACCTTCAGACGGGTGGTTATATATTTATCCCGAAATCCCGCAATCTATCGGAGAATAAGGCATCACCCCAACGGTGTAGAATGCGGGGACCGAGGAATTCCAGCCTGACAAGCGGAGCCTGAATTTCGCAATGCGAAGTCGCGACCAGAGAGCAACGTCTGGCTGATGGCAGCTGCTCCTATCGCAGCAAGTGAAGATTCACCAACATCAAAGTCTAGTGTCCAGCCGATAATCACCCGTTTCGATACCAAGCAGGGAACCCCCGCCGTGCTGAATCCCCGTCCCTTGCACTTATGAGGAGCCGAACCTTCAAGGCTAACTCTGTCGTCACGGGGTTCAATCCAATTCCTAAGAGGGTCAGGAACTAGCTCTTAGGCATCACTCCACGTCGTCAGACCACGCGGATCCACCATGGTACTCCGGTTGACCCCGGTGATTTTGTTAGTACGGTGGAGAGTTGCAGGGATTTGAAACCTTGAAGCGGTAAGTCTCTCATACAGCACCGCCTTCTTAATTCGCTATGGTGAAGCCTTGAATAGCAACGCTGAATGGCTATATAAAGTATTAATAATCATATTAATAATCATATGAACGGCAGAAATCAAAGGATTCAGATCCCTGCGCCTCTCCACCATACTAACAAAATTACCGGGGTCAACCGGAGTAGAACAAACAAGCTGGGAAGTGGGGCTGCCAGCCAGCGAGCATGTACCATTTTCAGAGCACCGACTGGAGGATAATAGATTCAATATGCGACTGGATAGAGCGGGATTGCTAAGCTCAGCAAAGGAAGAGCGATAAGCCGCATAGACGAAAGGTAGGACTCGATACGAGCACGGGATACGATGGGAGCTTATTAAGGGACGGGCCGATAGAAGGGATGGACGGGAGTACCTCGGGGACAGGAGTGTGGTTTGTTGCTGGATGCCATGATACTAGTAAGTGGTGTTGCGGAGGGAATGTCGGCACCAGACCGGCGAGCGAAAGCCGGAGGAACCACCCGCAATCACGGGATTGGTCCGGCTCCGGACACCGGCCGGGGCAGCTGGAGCCGAGGTCGGCGGAGATTCCCCATTCTAGTCGGTTTCCCCGACTTCCTCCATATCAACACCTTCTCGGCTTGCAGACACTCAGGGGTTGTTTCTGCAGCTCATGCAAGGCCATTAAGTGTTTGCATCGCTATGGATTACTCTGGAGATCTTGCACAATTACTTCGTCAATCTATTCTACCAGAAAGATGAAGGTCAATTGCAGGACCTTATTACGCTCTTGGAGCACACAGAACAACACCACTGACTGCATTTGTAGCCAACCTCCGAGAAAGTTTGCCAAGATTCTATTCCAAACCCTTGATTTGTGGGGATAACTCTTCTCCCGTCGCTCGGTCGATCCTCCTATATTGCAATCCTTCGTACGCACCCCGGCGAGGGATACACGCAATGCCTATAGTTGCACCGCTCTTAATAGTATCCACTTTTGTTGCGGTTGGCTGAAGGTGTCAAAGCACGCAGCTTTTAGGTCTTGGCCATCAACATGAGTGGAGTATCGGAACGACTTCATTGGTGGTAGGAAACATTCCGAGCACATCTCTAGGCCAAGCTGAAGAAACTGTATGATATTGAAATGTGGCTCCCGCAATTCATCCCGAACACCTTACTCGCCATTGACCTGGATAGCGTGTGAGGGACGGGACACACAGCGTCACTCCTCGAGTGTAAATCACCCGGTTGAAGCTTGGTTCAATACATGGCACGAAACGCGAGATCAACAGCTCAACTTGCCCAAATGAGCTGGGATCGGCTTTCTCGTGCACCTCTGCCTTGATGACGATTGGATGCTTAGTATTTCCTCCAAACATTAATCTCCGAACGACGACTGAGATGATCACGGAACCATGTCATGGAGAACATTATAAGTAGTGGCATCGCCGGCGTCATCTCAGCTGCTCCCTTTCTACCAGGCGGGCTTCTAAGACTTACTTCTCAACCTGCAATTTCTCTCCCTCTCTATAACATACAAGGACCCTACTCATCATGAGAGCTGCTCTCGGGGTTCTGGCCGGGGCCACGACCATTGCCCTGTCCCAGGCAGCTAGTTTGGCGGATGTCTGTACTACTAGCCATGCAAAGTCGTCCCTGCCCAGCAGTGATGAAATTGAAGGTCTCGAGATCGACACTTCATCCATCACCGCAAGTGCTGTCTATAATGCTTCCACGTCGGGTAGCTACTTCTTCCCTGCCGCCTCCTACAGCTACTGCAACGTGACCCTCTCATACACCCGGCCGGGTCTGGATGCTCCCCTGCTGTTGGAGCTCTGGTTGCCCGCTCCCGAGGACTATCAAAACCGGTGGCTGTCCACGGGAGGTGGAGGCTTCGCCATCAACTCCGGCACCAGCTCCCTTCCCGGTGGTGTGATGTATGGAGCTGCTGCGGGTATCACGGATGGTGGTTTTGGAGGGTTCGATACCGAATTTGATGCCGTTTTCCTCGAAGCAAACGGTACCATCAACTACGAGGCATTGTATTCTTTTGGCTACCTCGCTCATCACGAACTTACAATCGTTGGAAAAGCCTTCAGCCGCAACTTCTACAGTCTTGGTGACTCCAAGATCTACGCCTACTATCAAGGTTGCTCAGAGGGTGGCCGTGAAGGTTGGAGCCAAGTGCAACGCTATGCGGACCAGTGGGATGGAGCCGTTATCGGTGCCCCTGCGTTCCGGTACGGTCAACAGCAAGTGAACCACCTCTACCCTGACGTGGTTGAGCACACTCTGGGCTACTACCCTCCTACCTGTGAATTGGAAAAGATCGTCAACTTGACCATCGCGGCATGCGATGCCTTGGATGGCCGTGTCGATGGCGTGGTGGCTCGTACTGACCTGTGCAAGTTACACTTCAATGTCAACTCGACCGTTGGAGCTCCTTACTCCTGCCCGGCGTCTACTACCACTACAGTCCTCAAGAAGCGCACTTCAATGTCCAACACCACCCCTGCCCAGAACGGTACTGTTTCCGCTATCGGAGCTGCCGCAGCCAGTAAGATGCTCGACGGGCTCCGCACCCTGGACGGCCGCCGCGCTTACATCTGGTACCAACCCTCCTCCACGTTCGATGATGCCGAGACCCAGTACAACTACGACACCGGAAAGTGGGAGCTGGATATCACCTCCCTCGGAGGTGAGTGGGTGGCCCGCTTCCTGGAATTGCGCGATGCAGACAACCTCTCCAGCCTGGATAACGTCACGTACGATACCCTGAAGGAGTGGATGGAGCTTGGATGGCAGCGCTACGAGGACAGCCTCCAGACCACCTGGCCAGACTTGACACCCTTCCAATCGGCCGGAGGAAAGATCATCCACGTGCATGGCGAGTCCGACCCCAGTATCCCGACCGGTTCGTCCGTGCACTACCACGAATCCGTCCGTCAGATCATGTATCCCGGCATGTCATTCAACGAGAGCTCCCAGGCTTTGAATGAGTGGAACAGATTGTATTTGATCCCTGGTGCGGCGCACTGCGCGTCGAGCACTACCCAACCTAACGGCCCGTTCCCGCAGACCACCCTCGAGACGCTCATCCAGTGGGTCGAGGGAGGCGTCTTCCCAACCCGCTTGAACGCCACCGTGCTGGCTGGTGAGCGGAAGGGTGAGCAGCAGCAGTTGTGCGCGTGGCCCTTGCGCCCCTTGTGGAAGAACAATGGCACCGTCATGGACTGTGTGTTTGATGAGGAGTCGTACAAGACTTGGGTTTATGACTTTGATGCGTACAAGCTGCCTCTGTACTAGATTCGATGTGATGTGTCATATGTAATATCAACTCTACTTTGAAAGCATGACTTATTACTGAAAGAACAAGATTCAGAATTTTAAGTTGTTACTGTTCAAAGTAATGTAATTTGGATAGTCCAGTTCTAGGTATGCTATACCCTTTGCCTAATTTTTCACTTTATTTCCCCAAAACCTTGGCAATGGTCGCAGTATCCCGCAAGAGCTCCTCCTCATGCATCGTTCTGCCCATGAGCTGCACACAGCATGGCGCGCCTTCGACATCGTCTGCAACATCTGCGAAGCGTTAGAACGGTCTGAATGGGTGTATAGGAAAAAAACTTACACGGAGGTCGGTACGTCACGTCCCTCACATACTTGGCGTCATCAGCCTTGTTCGCCTTTCTGTATGGAATAACCGTAGCCGGATACTGCAGTTGTCAGCCGAGTCAACATCGTGTAGGGGTGGTTTGCCATACATCCAAAACATTAGCCAAAACTGTATATGGCACCCATCCCACCATGTCATGTGCCACCGCAGTACCCTGATATCCTGGCATAATGATTGCGTCGATCTTGTTCTGGACAATCAGCTGTCGGAACTGCTCACACATCGTCTCCCGCTGCACGCTCAAATCATAGAGAGATTCCAGCGTATGTGGGGCCCATTCATATGGCAAATCAGCACTCGGTAGGTCGGTAGTTGCCAGAGCAGGGATGCGTGGCTCGCCGCTCTTGGTGATGTGGCTGAAAGCGGTTCGTGCCGGGTCCATAGCGAAGGTCCGGAAGCCGAGAAGGAGGGCATCTTTGAGAGAAGGGGTGGCTAGGTTGATGACTTCGTGGCCGGCGGCTTTCAGGGCGTCGACTGCGCGGGTTAGGGTGTTGAGAATGGGAGGGTGCACGGGGAAGTGGGGGTCTTCGAGGATGAAGCCGAGTCGGAGAGTTTCTTTCGGGGGTGCGGATCGCCAGGTGCTGAATATGGTCGAGGAGTCGTATTGCCAGGGATCGGCGCCCACGACTAGTTTCATGAATAGACCGAGGTCGCGCACTGAGGTCGCTAGTGGGCCTGCGCAGGGTCGGATGCCTGCGAGACCTTTACGCCCGGAGCCTGTCTGGCCTCCGTAGGGAATTCGGTGGATGGATGGGCGTAGGGCGAAGGTGCCGTCGAAGATTGCGGGAATTCGGATGGAACCTGCAATGTCGGTGCCTACACCTAGGATTGAGCCACGCATGGCGATTAGAGCACCTTCGCCACCGGATGATCCGCCGGCGCTGAGGCTGGTTCGGTTGGGATTGAGGGTGCGACCAAAGACGTAGTTGTGGGAGTCGGCAGCCTGAATACTGTGAGCCTTTGGTGATAGTAGCGATGGAAGGCAAATATACCATCATTGTCTGGGGAACATTGGTCTTCACATAGAGCACCGCGCCCAAGTCCAGAAGAATCTGGACGACGGAAGAATTGTTCTTGACGGGACCGTGTGCGACGAAGGCAGTGAAGCCGATGGTGCTCGGAACGCCTGCAACATTGAAGCAGTCCTGGCACTGTCAATCTTCACGCTGTTATTGTTCTGGCAACAGTTGATCTACCTTAAGACTGATGGGCAAACCATGCAGCGGTCCGCGGACCTTGCCCGTAGACTGGAAATACTCATCCAGCTCCTTTGCTCGCTCCAAAGCAAGATCAAAGAAGGTTTCTGTTAAACAGCGCGTCTATATGCGACCGTTAATATACCATCACGATCAACCATTGAGCTGTTTCTCCTACCACTTGCTGTGCGATGGCCGCCCGAAGGCAAAACGCCTCGGCGACTTCAACGGCGGTATACTTTCCGGAGTGAATCTGCTCGAGCATGGCCGTGGCGTCATAGTTCTCAGTAATTTCCAATTGTTTCGCAGACAGCAAGCCACATTTGCGAGGCACATCGAGCACATTGGTCGGGGTTGTTTTGGACACATTTTCCGTAAACTCAGCCGGTAGCCGCCATGCCTGGGGGATCTTTGCGGCTGCGTCGGCCTGCTTCTGTTGCACAATTGTCTCCCACTGTTCGACTGCCATGGTGTTCTACGTAGACGGTTATAAGTGCTGAGGTTATGAGGAGGGATCCGACTGGGAAGAGAGAACCACGGATATATGGCTCGGGAACAAGACAAGCCGAGGGTTTATTGCGACTAAACAACCCCGCGCGGGGTATTCGGGGTGGATGGATAGGAGATCCTTTCCCATCCTGAAGCTCCACTTCTGCCTAACTGTCTGTGTTCATGTGAAGAGCGGGTTGCATGAGAGACGTTGGTTGATAAGCACAGCTGCCCTGCACAGCACAACCTGTTCTCGGCTCACCGAAGTTGGGAAGCAAGGTTGTTGTTGATGCGCTCGGGTTTCGGATAGGATATCCGAACTGATATCATTCAGGACAACCACTTGTTGAACCCTAGACATCCTGACTTTTTATATGCAGTGATACATCTCAAAGAATATACGATGTAGGAATACAATTAGGAGGGGAAAATCCTATGATACATGACATTCCTTCCACTTTCCGAATAGTACTCTTTCACATGTGCCACCCTGACTATAATCGTACAGAAACTTGTATTTGCAGTCGGGTCTCGTAATCTCAATTCTTTCACCGACGCAATACATGTAGCTTAGGCCTTTAGAAGAAAGCGATGGGATTCGGCGCAGTGCCATCCACGGCTTGCTGCACGTCATAATGTTCCACCAAGCACGTCCCCACCATGCGGATCATGTCCACCAGGGCCGAATTGGGGATCCCCATGGTCGCATTACCAATGACTTTGGTATGAGCAGTTCCATATGCAGTGCCGTCCTTATCCCATCCGACAAACGCACGCTGTAACTGAGAGTCCACATTGGGGACAATAGCGGACAACTCGCCCAGAGTAGTGTCGATGTCATTCCCAGTCACCAGAGGCGAATGATTGATGTAGCCGGTCGCGACATATTTCGTGAAGGCGTCTGTGAGGCGCTTCTCGGTATAGAGCAGATTGGTGAAGTCGTTCCAGGCGGCCAGCTGTTCGGCCTGGGAGGCCTCCGGCTTGGTGGTGTCGGGGCAGCCGAGGGCAGTGAATTCATCGGGGCCTCCGCGCCGGACAGCCTGGGCGGCTGTCAGGGTACCAAGGGAGATGAGCGCGGTGACAATGGCAACCACACGCATGACTAGTGGACAATTGAGAGATTTAGTGTAGTTTTGGAAGACGTCAGGGAACAGCTATTCTGCACCCCATCGTGGGGAGACACGAGCCATTAAGTAGAGCGTGAGGAATGTTGTATTTCTTCTCCGCTCGCGGTCGGTATGTGGCCGTGTCTAGGGCACGGTCGGGCTATTTAATCCAACTCTTGGACCTTGTGTATGTGAGCATAATTTCAGGATCGCAAATGCCAGCCAAGGGATCTATCGAGTGTCTAAACTAGCGCGACCACGGATCAGAAACATTTGCTTTCCGGTCCAGCGCATCTGGCCATTCTGGCGAGAGACCGGAAAAGCGAGAGGGTATATCACGCGTCACTTCACTTACGGAGCTGGGAATTATTCTTCCAGACGCGGCAAAATGTCGAACTGAATGAACCCGAGTGTTAGATGGTCAAGTTGACCTGCTGGATGAAAGTTTTATGGCGATGAATCGAATTCAGAAGATTAGGCAACCACCAGTGGCAGCCTAAAAGTAGGCTTGGCTTAAATTCCGCGGTCGCAAAGTTGAGTTCCTCGACTTGCTCCAGAATGCAAATCAAGTCTTGACATGCATTTCCACCAACTTTTCTCTCTGATTACATCGACCTTAATCACAGCAGCAGCTGGCGGACAAAGTCTCCTTCCCGAGCAGCTGTTCCTCGATTTGCCCGTTGCGGAGGTGCTCAATCGAACTGCCTGGGACTCGGTGGAACCATGCACCACCGAGTACTGCACGGCCATTGCAGAGCAGCGATACGGAGATGCCATCTATGCCCGATACAACATCTATGGGGACACCAAGGACGGCATGTTGACGTTGTGGGACTGCACTGATGAAGGGCGGTACCGTGAATGGAACATCACTGTGTATGAGCAGATCATGGAGGATGCGCGAGGGTATTACGATGGGCACCCGGACCTTTACCAAGAAGCGCTGGAGTTCTATAGCAGCAACAGTCCCAACGACTCGCGGGGAGACATCATCGAAGCGCTGAACAATGTAATGAACAATGGGTCAGACTTCTAGCCGCTCACGAGTTCCATTCATTCCACTCGCTATCGGATATTTGCAACTACTCGATCATGTTCGTCTATATGTCGGAAAGAACTAATTGGTATGCAGTTTGACAGGGAGCAGGCCACGCTAGAAGGTTAAGATGATTGTTCTGGCAAATAATGTATATTGCGACACCACGTCCCTTGTGACACCAAGCCCTTTGTATCTAGTTTTCTACACACTATCATGAAACGAGGTATAGATAGATCACCAGTATACTCCGTAGCATCGAAACCGAGATGAGCCACGTGCACGGACCAATTATTTCCTCATTGGGAAGGCTCTTCCGGTGGGGAAAACTGCTCCACTCGGCAACTCTTCCACTTTCTCTGCCTCTTCAATCTTCATGCTTCAACTTTCATCTTACAATTATTCTGCATCCGTCCATCATGGAGGATAACCCTAGTCCGAAGGCCAGTCCCGCCACCAAAGTCCCCAGCGCATGCCAGCGCTGTCGACGTCAGAAGCTAAAGGTTCGCTGAAACGAGTAAGCTCTGGAACGCCCGTTGATCCGCTCACCCTTCGATAGTGCGACATCCAACGGCCTTGTACCCTCTGCACCCGCGCCGGGGTCCGCTGTCTTCCCGGATCGGCAACCCGCTGGCGACCCTACCGGCATCCGCAGGATACGCCCGCGTCACCAAGGGTCCAGACACCAAATACAAGTGCCCCGAGACGCCATGCGAGTTCACCCCATGCCATCGGTTCTGGCCAACGTCCTGTCGAGACTCCAACGCCAGGGACACCATCGCACCGAAGGGATCGTGATTGGATATCAAGCTCGACTATATCTCTTCTAGGCGGGGTGAGGCTCCCGTAATAACTCGCACTATGGGCGACCCTAACCACTATTCGATTAGGCATTCAACCTTCACAATGTGGCCGCACCGGGGCCACCTGCAACGGACGCACTCCCGGGAGCCCCCTTGCAAGAGCCTAGATCTGCTTCACCGAGCGTTGAGTTTGACACATCTGAGCCTTCCTCTCCAACTGCACTCGCGCCTTGCGACCTGTCCTCTTCCGTTACGGAGAACTTGGCATCCCTACTACCCAGCTTTGACGCGGCCAGTGTTCTCGTAGATACATATTTCGATCGAGCGCACTGGTTCATGTTGGTCTTCTATCAAGACGAGTTTCGTCAGCGGTGGCCCAAACTGTACGGTGGCTCTACTGAGAGGCCTTCAACATACGCCCACCATCACCTCGGCTTTCTCAGCACCTTCCTGATCGTGATTGCTATCGGGCTGCAGTACGCCGGGCCCTACCGACGAGAGATTCTCTCAAGATACGGGGTTCAAACTGCCCTCAAGGATCGGATTCTCTCTGCTGCGAGAGCGGGGCTTCTTGACATCATGTCTTTAGGCTCTTTAGAAGCAGTCCAAACCTGCATTCTACTCGGTACGTATTATTTATACCATGGTGCTCCGCGACTGGCATGGCCGGTATGCGGGTGTGGGCTTCGTATAGCCCAAGCTCTACAATTACACCGCCGACGGTATCCGGTTCAATCGACTGATTTCCGAACTCGCAATGAAACTCGCAAAAGATGCTGGTGGGCAGTGTATGAAATTGAAACCTTTTCTGCTGTGGCATATGGGTATCCGCACAGTATCCGCGATGGCGACTGCGACGTAGAACCGTTAGATCCATCAGCCAAACTTCAGAATATGCAGTCTCCGGGTTCATTCGATGAACCTCTGGCGTCGGATCCAACCCTACTTTCTTACAAGTACTTCATAACCAAACTATCTACCATCACCAAAGGAGCTTTGGATGATCTATATCGCGTTCGCTCGCATGCAGCTAGCCGATCTCACACAGAATCACTTGATATCCAGAAAGTCGTTCGAAAGGTTGCCGACTACGACAGTCGACTCCGTCATTGGGAAGCAGAGATCCCTCTCCCACTCCAGTGGCGCCGGGTTGCTCACCAGTCTCATTACGCCTCTGCCGAAGAAGTCGATCGTGATATTGGAGCCTCAGGGCCTCGCTTCGAGAATCATATTTTTCAACTCCAAGCTCTCGCTCTGTGGCTTGCGTATCAGAACGCACGCATTCTCACGCACCGTCCACTTCTTTCCTACATGCTGGCCGCTAGGGAACGAACCAGCAAGTATAATGGTGATGCTGCAGATTCGGTCGACCCATTTAGTGCCTCTTTGAACGCTTGCCGTGATGCAGCGCTCGGCATGTCGGAGATTCTGTCAAGTCCCTTATTAGGAGTGGTCTCGGAGACCTATGCGGCTTCATTCGTTAGCATTCATACATTTACAGCAGGCGTGACCCTTGGTATCCTAAGCAGCATGCATCCTCTGGGTCCACACTCTACCGACACCAAGTCCGGACTCCGCAAATTGATCGGCATCCAGGACAAGCTCCGAACACATTCCGTTGCAGCGCAGCAGGGACTGACCATCCTTCAGCGTCTGGTAAAATTGGTCATGGAAAAAGAACTCAGCGTAATGATGGAATTGTCTACTTCTGCAACCACTCCGCATCCAAATGAGCCGACAATAACGAATTCTTCATCAAGACAGAGACTGTCGGACCAGGTCTCCGATGAACCAGCAGCTCGAATTGATGCCATTGATGCTCCTGGGATGTCCACAGCAGTCATGACTGCTCCGGATATCCCAGCGGAAGATGAATCCGCCCAATACATGCATGATCCTGCTCTAGCAGCTGCCCTTCAAGACTTTGATCAAGGTATGCCCCTAAACCTCTTATCAATCAATATTAATGCTGTCTATAGCTCTGTCAAATTATGCGCCTCGAGCCCAAGTAGGCTCTGATGGCAGCCCAGAAAACCCGTCATTCTGGCCCACCGCGGAGGCCTTTCCGATCCTGGAGCAGAGTTGGATGTGGGGCATAGAAGGTGCACCTTTTCATGGGGAGTATACGGGTCCAAGCTACGGCGGTAGCTATACACCCTGAGAAAGAGCAGTTTGCGTTGTGAAGGAACAGCTGGAGTACGGGTGTACCCTTGCGATTGCTCCGGTGGATAAATTACCGGATTGGGAAGGCTTTCCGCCGGAGGCATCTGCGGGGTCCAGGTATAAGAACGAGGCGTCCCCGGACATACATACTCCACAACAGATAAACACAATCACATCGAAAAAAAATATTCCATCATGGCACACAAAATTACAGTCACCCTGCCCCAGCTGGCAAAGATGATCGACCACTCGCTCCTCCACCCCACCATGACCGACGCCGACATCGTAGCCGGCCTCAAAATTGCCCGCGACAATCATGTCGCAACCGCCTGCGTCAAACCCTACGCCATCCCCTTAGCCAAGACAGAACTCGCTGGGTCAGACGTTCTGGTCTGTCCGGTCATCGGATTCCCTCACGGCAACAGCACCACCGAGATCAAGGTCCTCGAAGCCGCCGCTGCAGCCAAGGCTGGCGGAGCCGAGATCGACATGGTAGTCAATGTCGGCAAGGTCCTCGGGGAGGATTGGGACTATGTGGCGGAGGAAATTCGCCAGATCAATGAGGCTGTGGTTGCCAACGGGGCTGTTTTGAAGGTCATCTTCGAGAATGATTACTTACGACCTGAGCATATTGCTCGTCTCTGTGAGATCTGTACCCAGATCGACGTTGCCTTTGTGAAGACATCGACTGGGTATGGGTTCGTGAAGCAGCCGGATGGAGCGTATAATTACAAGGGTGCCACGGTGCAAGCTCTCGAGTTGATGAGGGAGAAGTCGGGCGAGAAGGTGCAGATTAAAGCTGCGGGAGGAGTTCGTACGTTGGATGATCTGCTGCATGTTATGAGTTTGGGTGTTACCCGCATTGGAGCCACGGCTACTGTCGCAATTTTGGAGGACGCCAGGAAACGTGGGATTGGGAATGAGCCTATCGAGGTGGAGTTTAAGCCGATGGCGGAGGCATCCGGGGGGTACTGAGATTGCATTAGCATGTTTATACCCATCATTCATATTCGACTGATTAAAATCACCCCGTCTCTCCTTGTTCTTGCCACAGATTAATTGATTCTCGGCTCACAAACCCTTTTTCCCTAGCTAGGATGCGATGTGGCGAGTTGCTGCTGCCAAGTGAATGAATTTATGACGGGCCGGCTGGCTATACTTCCCTATTAGGTAATTCCCACCGCCGGGCGGGGTTCCACTCCGCTTCGGCGTACTTCATAGATACATTAAGTTCAGGTACGACTATATATGCTGGGTCGAACAGGCCCTGCATCATTGTCGAGGTAATAGTAAATCTGATCTCTTTGTACCATTCAACACAATCAACATGCCATTCGATCCCAACAGATACAGCGACGAAGTCCAGAAAGTGTCCAAAGACACCCCTGTGGAGGAAATCATCTATCTACTCAAACGAGACGGAGGTGTATTCATCAAGGGCCTCATTTCAGAGGAAGATGTCGACCAGGCCTCCCAAGAAGCCAAACCTCGTTTAGATGCAGATGTAGAATGGAATGGCTCTTTCTTCCCGGGTGAGTTGACTCTTTACTTTCCTTTGTGGAACCGCTACAGCTCATCGATCAGCACAAACCCAACGCGCCCCGTCCTTGATCGCGCATAGCCCGACCTACACCAAAACCCAAGTCATGAATCCTCTCTTTCACCAGGTATGCGACCATTTCCTAACCTCCAGACGATGTTACTGGTGGGGTGAAGAGAAGAAGATGTCTGTCTCTAAGCCGTACGTGCACTCCTGCACAGCCATGAGAATCGGCCCCGGAGCCAAGGCGCAGCCCTTGCATCGTGACAATTACATCAATCATCGCTTTCATATTGAGATTGGTCAATGGGATGATGTGCGAGACATGGAGCGCGAGTCTGCAGTCGGCCTCTTTGTAGCGGGCTGTCGCGTCACGCGGGAGAACGGTGGGACGCAGTTTATTCCTCGTAGTCATCTTTGGTGGGTGAATCAACTCTTACCAATCGATTTCTATAGTCGTTGTCTGACAGCCAAGCAGGGGCACAGAGCGCACTACGCCTCCAAGAGTCGAGCAATGTATCTTCGCCGATATGGAAAGAGGCGACGGCTTCATCATGTTGGCATCGGCATTCCATGGAGGGGGCTCGAACATAACCGAGGACGAGTACCGGTTGATGTTCGCTACGTTCGTTGTTCGAGGATACCTGCGCCAGGAAGAGAACCAGTTCTTGGCAGTGCCGGCGGATGTCGCGCGCACGTATGACCGGGAGACTTTGGAGTTCATGGGCTATGCCATGAGTGAGCCGGCTTGTGGGTACGTGGAACAGATGGATCCTATCTACCATCTTTGTCCGGAGCTGAAGGAGAATGAGAGGCCGAGGGACTTTTAGTGGATTTTTTTGAGGTAGTCTTGTCCATGCTGTAAACACGGTGCAGATCTCAGGCACGTTACGGATGTTGTGTCTGTTAAACTGATTCAATAGTATTTTGTGTTCCGAAGAAAGTTACTACATGACGGGGTGTACTTCGAGTCGGACGGCTATAAAAGTACATCTTTCTTACACAAATGCAATGACAACCTATGACAGGATCACCACGGTAGAGACTAGGGACTTATCTCCGTGACAATATATGATAGGGACGTCGTTACGTCCATTACACATCATGCATAGGAATCATTATCCGCATCGTGACGACATCGAGTCATTTATAGACCAGCCAAAGAACCCCCCTTCAGTAGGGACTCAGAATCTCCATCTCCATCCCCATTCCTTTCCAACCCCATACCATCCCGACAGGCCGACAGGCCGACGATGACACTACCAAAGCCATCAAGCGCGCCCTCAGCGACAACGACATCCAGACGATTTTCTTCGTTAACCTGCTCAGCGACCACGATGATAAAGCCACCTTGTCCAATCTCAACGCCAGCCGCTGCATGCTCACTACTGAAGTGGAGAAAGAGATCTATGACAAGGTTCAACGCAACGAACTACCAACAAATACCTCACTATCCGCCGGATTCAAACGGGGTGCTGAGCGAGTCGAGGTCCTGGGTGATTTGCTTCGGAAGGTATCGTGGTAGGTGCTAACACTCTATTGAACATACCTAATTGTAGTACATAAGGACTAATTCCTAATGAGCAGGTTGGATATGTAAATCGAGCTACCTTACCAGCAGAAACAGCTTCCCAGTGATAAAGACTACCACTAAACCAAAACCTGTCTGTATCAAGAGATGTGTAAATACTTGATGGCCTCCAGTCTATCCCACGGGATATCCACCAGATTAGAATTGGTCGCTAAAACCATAGCGGAGATGGTAGTCCTAAGCGGGGACTCGTCGCCGCCTCATCGCAAGCGATTCGGGGTGTTGTGTACTTCGCGGAAGGACAGGGGTCCGTTGTCACCACATGGTGAGTGGGAATTTTTTTTTTTTTTTTTTTTTTTCTTTCGATTGGAGAGATTCCCCATTGATGATGTCTAACTCATAAATATATGTATAGTCCTTCGATACAACCAGTATGAGTTTGATCCGGTCGGGGAATACTTACGTTCCAGCCTATACGTGGCTTATTTCGTTGAGGGTGCCTTCAAATTCGGGCGAAAGGGTAGTACTATTGAGCATCGTGACTTCCAGTTTGTGCAGGATCTGACGGACCAGAGGTCTATGGATGTGTACTTGTCGTGTCCTTATATCAGTACATTGTGGATTCCGTGAGAGTAGAGCTGTGTAGTGAGATGGGGAGCGGATGTCAATGATACGCGGTGATAGTAATTGTTCGGACGGATATCTCTCCGTCGCCTGGCTGACTAGACGTGATATATCGTTTTTGTCTAGCGGTTAGTGCTTCGACAGTAATTGATAGCTTAATTATTGCCTTGTTCTAACATATATACCCCGTTTCCGGTAGAAGAATACGTTTCCTTCATTAGATCAACAATTAATAACAGTGTTAGGACTGTCACCTGCTCAACTCATCCACTCAAATGATCTATGTACGGCCAGCGAGACTTAAATCATACTCAACTGCTATATGTCTCATGGTTAAGATGTCCTGTGTTACATAAAATCAGTAACTAAATCATACCGAAAATACATTTCATTCATGGAGATTATAGCGATGTCCATAGGGACAGTGTCTATGTCTATGGAAAATAACAAAGGTCTAAATCAGTCAACGGGAGCCGACATAGGGCTCCATCACTTCTAAATATTCAATGCTCACTCCTCTAGATCGGCTCGTCCCGCGGCTCGATCAGCACTTCATTGACAGAGACATGGGCCGGCTGGCGCAGCGCGTATATAATGGAATCCGCCACATTGTCCGGCTCGAGGATCTGTGCACCGGACGGTTCGCCATATTTCTTGACGGCCTCGGCATCCGTAGACATGCCCAAAAGGTCCGTCGCCGTATTGCCCGGCTGCACACTGGTCACACGCAGGCCCATACCTGCTGTCTCCAAGCGGAGCGACTGCAGCGTCGCCTCAACGAAGAACTTACTGGCCGAGTAGACACCCAGGCCGGGGAATACCTTGCGTCCAGCATCGGAGGAGATCGCGACAATGTGACCACCACCCCGCGAAAGCATGCCGGGCACACTTGCCGAGAGGCAGTGGAGAAGACCCTTGCAGTTCACGTCGACCGTACGCTCCCACTCTTCAGTCTGCACGTTGGCCATCATGGTAAAGTACATCACTCCGGCACACGATACGATAATGTCCACAGGGCCAAGTTCGTCGTTGGCCGCTTGGAAAAGGGCGTCCACCTGCTCCTTGCTCGTGACGTCGGTCTTCCGGGCAATGACCTTGCCACCGTGGGCCGTGATGCGGCCCTTGAGTGATTCAAGTGCGTCGAGGCGCCGAGCAGCAAGAGCCACATGGCAACCCTCTCGACCCAGAGCAGCCGCAACTGCAGCTCCAATGCCAGAAGAGGCACCCGTCACGACGGCCACCTTTCCGCTAAGCGGACCCTTGATGGCAGGCTTCGCGGTCCCGTTGAGACCTTGCTGGCGAAGCGGCGGCCGCGGCAGCCAGCCTCGAGCGAACCAGTGCCGCGTGTAGGTCTCCAGCAGAGCCCGGTCGACCTTGGGCCGTTCCACGACCGCCCGGAAAGGACGAGTGGCCGCATTGTCCAGCACGACGATGCCCCGGAGGAATTCCACCGTGGGCATGCCACTGCGGAGGATATCAACGGTGAAACCACCGTCTCCACCCTTGACCGCACTGCGCTTCTCATTCCACAGTGATACCCAATCATCCCATGCCAGGGACTTGGTCGAGTAGCCCAGCTCATTCAGAGATGCAAAGACTGCCCGTGTATCGACCGGGTTCGGATCGCCGAGGTGGAACACGGTTTGCTCAGCGTGCGTCTGGCTGGCCAGATGCACAATAGCCTTGCTGACAAAGTCCACGGGAGTCATCTCTGCTCGCCAGCCTTCCACTTCAGGCGCGTAGCCGAGCTTAATTGATTCAACGAACAAGGCTGACAACAGATCCCAGGCATTAGCGGCACCCGTCTGGCTATGGCCGCTGATGGTTCCGGCGCGGTGGATCTTCACGGGCAGTCCGCGACGACCCGCTTCGAGCACCAGCTGCTCAGCCACCCACTTGGTTTGGCCGTATCCATCCAGCAGCTTGTCAGGAACGTCGTCCACCGGGAGCATGGCGTCTTCCGGCCAGCCCTTTTCTCCGGACGGTGGGAGCACGCCATTGGTGGACACATATTGCACGGTCGCACCACCCTTGCATGCCAAGCGGAGGACTTCTCGCGTACCGCCGACATTGGGCCCGCGAAGGGCCGCATAAGGGTAGACCAAGTTGACGGTGGCCGCGGCATGAACGATAACCTGCACGCGGGCGGCGAGCTCGTCGAAGGCTTCTGGGGAGAGGCCGAAGCGGGTCCGCGACAGGTTTCCGGGCAAGATCTCAACGCGCTCCATGATGGAGTCCCGCCACAGTCCCAGATCCAAGAGGTTTCGGCGAATTCTGGCCACACCACCGGGCTGGTCATCATCCGCCGGGTCCGTGAATCGGACCAAGCAGATGATATGCGCGGAGGTGCTCTCGAGTAGATCGTGCAGGAGGAAGGCGCCAAGGAATCCCGTCACTCCCGTCAGGAGCACCGTGTCTGCGTCGGTGACCGAGCGGATGGACGCTTTGGACGGTCGGATATCATCGTCGAGAGTGGCGTCGGCCCGCAGAACCGCGGGGAGATCGGCCTGGACCGCGGCGGTATGGCCGTCGCGAATGTCACGAACGGTCTGGAGATGGCCCGCCAGAGTGGCGTTTTCCGCCAGCCGGGCGATCGGAACGCGGAAGCCAAAGTGTCGGGACAAGCGCGAGGAGAGGTCCGCCAACGACAGGGAGTGTCCACCCAGATCGAAGAAATCATCGCTGGGCTTCAACAGATTGCGCGCGGTTTTGAGGGCGACCGCCCAAATGGCAGCCACTTGGTCAATGCCGATCGAATCCTTCTCCACGGGCTTTCCATTCCCGTTGACGTGGTCGGCGGTGCGTGGGGGAGGCAGGCGTTTGAGATCAACCTTGCCCGTCACATCGTGTGTGGGGAGCTCCTCCAGCTCCACCCAGAGAGATGGGATCATGTAATGTGCCAGGACCTGGGTGAGGGTGCGACGCGCGCCCGGGCTATTGCCCGCCTCGTTTATTTCCACCACGGGGCGGTCGGGGGCGTGGTCCTTGTCGCGGACAATGTATGCCACCAACTGTCGCTCCAGACCCTCGCCATGGGCCACCACGGCACAATGGCGAACCGCGAGATTCTTGGTGATCTCATACTCCACCTTGGCGGGCACGACCGAGTAGCCGCGCAGCTTGATCATGGATCCCACGCGACCGGTGATTTCGAGAAGGCCCGAAGGCAACCGGCGGGCGAGGTCGCCCGTCCGGTACAGACGGGACCCCGGAGTTGAATCGAAGGGGTTCTCCGTGAAGGCTTTGGCGGTGGTCTCGGGAAGGTTGAGGTACCCGCGAGCCAAAAGTGGACCAGCCACATAGAGCTCCCCGCTCACCCCGTTCTCCACCGGTTGCCGGTTATCGTCCAGAATGTGGGTGTTCTTGGGGTCAATCGGGGGCCCAACCGGACAGTACAGCGCTTTCTCGTCGAGCATCTCCCGAATATCTCCGCAGGCGATCTCGTGTGTTTCACAGGCACTGTAGCAATTGAGGAGGCGGGTGTTGGGCAGGGCTTGGCTGGCGCGACGGGCGAGATCGGTGGTCACCACCTCACCGTTGAACCACAGTGTGCGGAGATGCGGCAGGCGCGAGCCGATGTGTGGATGACGGGCGAGGATGGTAGCGAGGAGAGTAGGGGTCATGAGGGTTTCTGTGATGCGCTTCGCCGCGAGGAGGTCCACGAGGGCGGCGGGGTCGTAGCTGATGTCGTCCGGCACCGCGACAACGGCCGCTCCCCGCAACAGGGGACGCAAGATCTCCCAGATGAAGAAGACATTACAAGCAACCCGATCGTTGGGAGTCAGATCCTGCACGCCAAATCGTAGGTTATAGGAGAGAACCGGGGCTCTGTGGGGGTTGGCAATTCCCTTGGGCTTGCCCGTGGTTCCGGACGAATAGGAAACGAAGGCCAGACGATCCAGATCGTCATCTGCGGGCGGGGGAGGCAAATCGGAAACCCCGTTCGTCTCCGTGGCTGGTTCATCCAAGGAGATGAGGGGGACATCGGCCTTGATCTTGCCGACTTCGGCCCTGCAGGTGATGATGACGGCGGGGTTCCCGTCGCGGATCACATCGTCCAGCAGCTCGGGTGGGTAGGCCAGCTCGAGCACCAGAAAGGCTCCGCCGGCGCGGAGAGCAGCCAGACAGGCAATGACATAGTCACTGCTGCGTGGGAGCAAAACTCCCACCAGGGTATCCCGTCCGACCCGGTAGTGATGCAGCCGCCGAGTCAGGGCATCGACCGCCCGGTCTAATTCCGCGTAGGTATATGTGGTCTTGTCGTCTTCCAGCGCCAGCGCATCGGGAGTGGCCTGCACCTGCTTGAAAAACAGGGCCGATAGGTCTTTGGTGACATCAATGATGGTCATTGTGTGTGGATGTGGGGGTCGCGTGGAGTGGAAGACGGAGGAGGAGGGGAAGAGAGTATACGAGGACGAGGAAGTGTGCGACCACCGGTCGACGGCAGGTAATTAAGGAGGACTAAGGGGGGTGTTTTAAGTCGCGAGGGCAGAGCTTAAGAGACAAAACGAAAGAAATGAGGTGTCAGATGGGTCAATTCTGCGGTGAGAGCTGGAAAGAGAAGAAAACTGCGAGGAGGAATGAGGGGACAGGTGGGAAGATATAGGAACGAACGAACAGGGCAACTCACCGGCCAGCTTCCATGGCCTTCGCCTAGGAAACAAAGCAAACAGCAACCCGCCGCTGGACACGAAGGGTGGCGGATTGGAAAGCTTCCCAGGAAGCGTAAGAATCCAGCCATATCTGGCAGCTGTTGAGGACTTAGTGTGGACGAGACAGTGGGGGCTCAAGGAGGATAAGTAGCAAGTGAGCGTGTACCATCAGAGGCTCGATCACATGCAAATCACGAGCAGCCCAAAGAGGTTTAGTGGGGGTCTCAACGTTCGCTCTTTCTGGCTGCTCGATAGAGATTATTCCAGACAATTACATCAATCGATAGGCCGATGTTCGGAAAGACAATATCGATCTCATTATGATGCCTTGGATAGCAGAGAGAAATTCCTTGGTTCTGCGGTGTACGAAAATTTGAGAAAGGAAATTCACTTCTAGCCAGCGGGAAATCTC